CACCCACATCTGTGATTTGTTGATGGCTGGAGATGCCTGGAATTGATTCCGAGACTCTCTGCCCACAAAACACTCTTTGCTACCTACCCACCCACAATAGGAGGTCAAAACCTGCGACTCTTTACAGTCACGTGAACATCTGGGAAGGCAGTGAGCACAATCACTGTCCATCTCAGAGGGCGGAGACATACCGAAGTAGCACACTGAATTTGGAACGAAAGAAGGACAATGTGGCCCTGTAATTCTCACCAGTTTGTCACAATGCCAGATTCTATTGTGTGGCTCTGTTCTTTCTGCTTATTTGGAATACCCTTGTCACTATGAATGAGCAACTGGTGAATTTAATGACAGGAGGAAAGACAACACAAGTTAAATGGCATATATTTCAAATAGTGCCTTCCTGCCTTTTCTTTCTTGCTGTTTAACAATAGAAACCTCACATTCTTTTGTTGTTGTTGTTTATTCGTTCCGTCACTTCCGACTCTTCGTGACCTCATGGACCAGCCCACGACAGAACTCCCTGTTGGTCACCCCACTCCCCGGCTCCTTCAAGGTCAAGCCAGTCACTTCAAGGATGCCATCCATTCATCTTGCCCTTGGCCGACCCCTCTTCCTTTTTCCTTCCATTTTCCCCAGCATCATTGTCTTCTCTTTCATGTCTTCTCATGATGTGGCCAAAGTACTTCATCGTTGCCTCTAATATCCTTTCCTCCAGTAAGCAGTTGGGCATTATTTCCTGGAGTATGCACTGGTTGGATCTTCTCGCAGTACAAGGCACTCTCAGAATTTTCCTCCAACACCACAGTTCAAAAGCATTTATCTTCCTTTGCTCAGCCTTCTTTATGTTCCAGCTCTCCCATCCATATCACATTCTTAAATGACTGGAAATATACTTGAGGATGGTGGGAGTAGACTAACAAAATTTGTTGAATATTTTCAAGCCACAGATGGTTGAATTCATGGATACAAAATTCATGGATACTGAGGGCCTACTGTATGTCTACTGCAGCCATTTCACTGGGGCCAATGGGAACAATTAACTCTGCTTAGAGTTATAACAGAAGTCTGTAGGTTGGGCCCACACATTAGTGTGCCAGCTGTAATATGTAGGTGTGGTCTGAAAACATAAGGGGAAACCTCTGAGTCGACGTGAAATAAGAAATACCACAGAAACATGGAAACTTAAAAATGCTTGATGAAGAAATGCAAGTGTCTTTATCTAACATTCACCCAATATTCAAAAGCTGTGCTCATCTCATCAACCTCATACATTTCATTAACATGGTAATTGGTTATTTTATTAGTGTTATACGTTTTTTTAAAAATCTTGTACATATTTACATATTGGGTTGTTGTAGGCTTTTTTGGGCTATATGGCCATGTTCTAGAAGCATTCTCTCCTGACGTTTCACCTGCATCTATGGCAGGCCTACCTCTGAGGATGCTTGCCATGGATGCAGGCAAAACGTCAGGAGAGAATGCCTCTAGAACATGGCCATATAGTCCGAAAAAACCTACAACAACCCAGTGATTCCAGCCACGAAAGCCTTCGACAATATATTTACATATTGTTAGTCAGAAATGACAAAAATGTTGGACATATATGTTATAATCTTACAAAGCATATATTTTACAAAATATAAATGAAAGGTTTTCATTACATGTGGTATGTTGTATCGCCATATGTTTCATTACAGTGTTCCCTCACTTATCGTGGATGTTACATTCCAGGACTACCCATGAAAAGTGAAAATCCACGATGTAGTGATGCTATATATGTATATCGAGTTCTGAAGGTGAGGCAAAAGCGAAGAGAGATTTAAAGGCACCACACACTCTTTTTTTGCTAGCTATCTCTGATTTGCTTTGCAGTCTCTCTTGATTGGCTGCCTCTCTCCTGAAGGGGAGGGAGAAACTCCCTTCCACACTCCATCATTGCCAGGAGGCAGGATTAGAACGCTGCTCTGGGCAACGGCAACCATTCATAAACTGGGAGGCAAAAACCCATGAAACAGCAAGTCCACAAAATTGAACTACGAAGTAGTGAGGGAACACTGTACTGCAGTTTTTATATATGTGTCCATATCTCTTATAAGTGATTGGTTTAATCTCTGGTTTGTTGGTAAAACTGAATTACTGTGTCATGAAATGATGTAGGTTAAAAAGGTTTGACATGAACATGCAATGTTTGGAAAGCTCTGATCAAAAGGAAACAGAACACACTGTGATGTCTTAGGACCTCATCACACTAGATAATGAATCCACTTTAAATCCGGTTGCTGCCTCCTGCAGAATTCTGGGGTTTGTAGTTTAGGGAGGAGCCTTTAACAGCCTCACTAATCTACAAACCCTATAATTCTGCAGGAGGCAAAAACCGGATTTAAAGTAAATTCATTATCTAGTGTGATGAAGTTTTTAATTGGCACAGCCCATTCCGATGTCCTATCTAGTCATAAGTGTCCAGTGCATGTCATGAACTTAAATGACAAAGATGTTATGCACCTCGTATCATCTTTAATTTGGATGTGTATTTTTGTCGAGAGAATGGGCATATATTTCGCAATAAATGAGAAATGTGTCAGTGCAAAGGAACACAAATATGACTCTCTTGATTTGAGGAGGATCCACTGAGAACAGCATGTGAGCCAAACAAGAGTTAAAAAGAATTGTCTACAAGAGGAAACAAGCCACCAACATTATCTCCACCACTCCAGTGACGCAATGAAGTGTACCCCCCTTGACTTTTCTTTATTTGTGGCACTCCTGGAGTGCAACCTTCTGAGCAAAACTGCCCTCTAGTCCTAGGTCTGTGATGAAGGAGGCAGACTCTTACTGTCAGCATCCCACAACATTTGTTTTCAATGGCTCTGCAAAGTTTCTTCATGATCTCACAATATATTCCATATCCATTTTGTCACACGCTATCTTGACATTATGCCTTCTCTATAAACTGAAATGATTTTGAGATGATTTGAAGCAGTTGCCATACCCTTAGCATTTAGGTAGCATATTACAGCACGAACTTCGCACTTGGAGGGAAACAGAATGAGGACACTCATCTCTAACCTTCATCACAATACCTGTGGATGAGCTACTGACAACTGGCACTGCTCGTCCACTTCCGCTGGTTTCCCGCTACACGGCAGTGATACCAACTCCTCCTGAGAAAATTCCCTGCAAGAACTACATGCCTTGTAACCTTACTTTCAGGATAACTCTCATATGTATATATAAGCTTTGCTGTCTGTGGCCCTGTTCAGAAGATTTAACCTCATTTTCTGTCTCTGTGAGAATTGGATTTTGAACTGGATTATCTGAATCTAAACTGCAATTTAATCTGGTTCAAAGCAGATTATCTTGATTTTATATGATAGTGTAGAAGAGGCCTGAGGTTAAAGATGGTTTGAATAATGTATTTGCTGTATTGTCGAAAGCTTTCATGGCCAGAATCACTGGTTTGTTGTGGGTTTTCTGGGCTGTATGGCCATGTTCCAGAAGCATTCTCTCCTGACGTTTCGCCTGAATTTATGGCAGGCATCCTTAGATTTTTTTTGTATTTGTATTTGCTATTGTATAATTACCAAATAGCAATAGTAAGAACTGAACATGGAACAACAGACTGTTTCAAGATTGGGAAAGACGTACGGCAGGGTTGTATACTCTCCCCCAACCTATTCAACTTGTATGCAGAACACATCATGCGATATGCGGGGCTTGACTAACAAGGCTGGGGTGAAAATTGCTGGAAGAAACATTAACAACCTTAGATATGCAGATGACACCACTTTGATGGCCGAAAGCGAGGAGGAGCTGAGGAGCCTTCTAATCAAGGTGAAAGAAGAAAGTGCAAAAGCTGGGTTGCAGCTAAACATAAAAAAAACCAAGATTATGGCAACCAGACTGATTGATAACTGGCAAATAGAGGGAGAAAATGTGGAGGCAGTGACAGACTTTGTATTTCTAGGTGCAAAGATTACTGCAGACGCAGCCAGGAAATCAGAAGACATTTACTTCTTGGGAGGAGACAATGACCAATCTTGATGAAACAGTGAAGAGTAGAGACATCACACTGGCAACAAAGATCCGCATAGTCAAAGCCATGGTATTCCCTGTAGTAACCTAAGGATGTGAGAGCTGGACCTTAGGGAAGGCTGAGTGAAGGAAGATAGATCCTTTTGAACTGTGGTGTTGGAGGAAAGTTCTGAGAGTGCCTTGGACTGCGAGAAGATCCAACCAGTCCATATTTCAGGAAATAAATCCCGACTGCTATTTAGAGGGAAGGATAGTAGAGGCCAAGATGAAGTAAGAAGACAATTATGCTGGGGAAAATGAAAGAAAACAAGGAGAGGGGCCGACCAAGGGCAAGATGGATGGATGGCATCCTTGAAGTGACTGGCTTGACTCTGAAGGATCTGGGGGTGGTGATGGCCGACAGGGAGTTCTGGCGGGGGCTGGTCCATGAGGTCGCGAAGAGTCAGAAGCGACTGAATGAATAAACAACAATAATTTGCTATTTAAAAATGCAAACTTTTTAGAAAATTAGTGGTTGTCTTTTTCTATGGGGGCAAACATCTCACATTTTCTTTCTTTGGCCATTAAAACCGAGATAGTCCATTTTCACAGGACTGACCTGCTTCATTCAAAATCTCTGAATTTCCCATTCCCAGTGCCCATTCCCAGTGTCGTTTCCGCCTTTCATTACAGCCGGGAGATCTGGTTATTATATCTTGTCATTTTGCATTCTTTTGTTGTATGTGTGAATATGATATTTTGCCTAGGATTGGCCGTGCGAGTGGGCGTGCGCTCTCTCTCTCTCTCTCTCTTTCCCTTCCCTTCCTTTTTGGAGCCACGAGCGGGGGGCTCTCCTCGGCTGCCTCGCCTCCCTCTGCCACGCTCCGGCTCAACCAATAGCAGAGGCGCCTCAGGCCCGACCCTCCGCAGTAGTCCCCACCCTCTCGGCTCTTCTTGCTTCCATCCCTTCCTCCCCCCGCCCCCCGCGAGCCCCCGGAGGAGTAGCATCTTCCTCTGACGGCGGGAGTGTGCCTCTCCGGGGGGCCCCGCGCGCGCCGCTAGCTCCTCCTCCTCCTCGCGCTCCCTCCTCGCGCCACTCTTCCTCCTGCTCTTCCCGCGCGCGCGCCCCCCTCCCCTCCCTCAGTTCCTCCCTCCCTCCCTCCGCACCTGAGCGGAGCAGCGGCGATGAAGAGCAGCAGACGCAGCGCGAGCAGCAGCAGGAGCAGGAGGAGCCGCCCTCTCGGGCCCCGGCTGGGCCGATCGGGGCGCTCGCCGTGACGGGAATCCCAGTCTTGCAGCCCCCCCCCCCCCCGTCTAAAAAAAACCCAAGCCCTGTCTGTCCTTCGCTTGTCAACATCCCTCTGCCGCCCGCTCCCCACGGCGGGGGGTAGGGGCGCTGCCGGCTGGAGGCATGGGCTGCATCGGATCCAGGACTGTCGGTAAGGAAAGAGGGAGGGAGACACCGGGGGGTGGGGGGGGAGGGCATTGCTGAAGGAAGCATCACCATCTCTCAGCTAATGGTGAGGGGAGCATCACCATCTCAGCAAATGATAAGAGCAAGGAGCTTGGCTGCAGCCTGGGAGCAGGAAAGAGACAGACGGAACAGGCCTCCTGCCGCTTCCTATTCCCCTCCTCTTCCTCCTCCTTCTCATCTTCCTCCTCCTCCTCCTCCTCTCTTTTCCTCCTCCTCCTCCTCCTCCTTCCTCTTCTTCCTCCCTCTTCCTCCTCCACTTCCTTTTCCTCCTCCACTTCCTCTGCCTCTTCCTCCTTCTCCACTTCCTCCTCCTCTTCCTCTTCTTCCACTTCCTCATCCACTTCCTCCTCATCTCCTCCTCCTTTTCCTCCACTTCCTCCTTCTTTTCCTCCTTTTCCTCCTCCTCTCCACTTCCTCCTCCTCTTCCTCCTCCTCTTCCTCCTCCACTTCCTCCTCCTCCTCTCCCTCTCCCTCCTCCTCCTCTCCTGCGTTGCCCAGGGCATCCTTGGGTTTCCCTTCATCCCTTGGCTGGCAGCTCTGTGCATGCCCCCTCCCTGATTTCTGCAGCTTAGGAGCAGGAAAGAGGGATCAGGCCTCCTGTCGTTTCCTCTTTCCCCTCGTCCTCCTCTTCCTCCTCCTCCTCCTCTTCCTCCTTCTCCTCCTCACTTCCTCCTCCAGTTCCTCCTTTTCCTCCTCCTCTCCTGCATCACCCAGGGCATCCTTGGGCTTCCCTTCATCCCTTGGCTGGCAGCTCTGTGCATGCCCCCTCCCTGGTTTCTGCAGTCTGGGAGCAGGAAAGAGACAGAAAGACCAGGCCTCCTTTTGCTTCCTCTTCCTCTTCCTCCTCTTCCTCCTCCTCTCCTGCATGGCCCTGGGCATCCTTGGGCTTCCCGTTGCCCCTTGGTTGTCAGCTGTATGTGTGCCCCCTCACTGATTTGGATGCCATTGGCCTTGGTGCGTCCAGGAGATGGATGGCACTGCATTGCTCCCCCTGCAAAGGGTCTCAATGGATTCTTTGGACCAAAAGAGGCAGGCCTGCCCCTTTTCTCTGGCAAGGCTCCTTTCTGCCAGCTGATATTCCTTCCTCCCTAGCTTTCCCCCAGGTTGTTATCCTTCTCAGGCTCTCCTTCTCACTGCAGTGATGGCTGCACATCTCCACCCGCCTCCCTCGCAGTGCCCACGCCTCAGCAGAGAACCGGCTCCCTCCCTCCTCCAAGACAAGAGCAGTGCCAAGGGCAGCCCCCTCCTTCTTTTGTTCTCGGCTGCCACGAAACGAAGTGGCACCCATCTGCCTCTCGCCTAATCCAGGTTTACGGGCTGCTAGACTCAGGCCTGCCATCCAGCGTGATGCTTCCCCACTTAGAAGGATGGCCCTCTTTCCTTGAGGGGATTCGAAACGTGTCAGGGTGTGCGTGCGACTCTGCAAGAGATTTGGGGTTTCCAATAAGAGGAAGGAGAGAGAGTGATCTTGGCTCTATCTATGCGCCACAACCCACCAGGATGTCCACTCAAGGCCCAGTAGGTTCAGCGCAAACCCTCTTTCATGGGAGATCTTTGCCTCCTGGCATCAGTTAGTGGCCAATGTGGTGCTCCTACCTGGGCTTCTTGTTTTGGAACCTGAAATGCTTTGGTCCAAGCTGGGTTTGGTCCATGAGATTAATGACACTTTGGGTTATTGTGTTGTCAAAGGCTTCCATGGCCAGAATCACTGGGTTGCTGTGAGTTTTCCAGGCTATGTAGCCATGTTCCAGAAGCATTCTCTCCTGATGTTTCACCACAGTTATGGCAGCCATCCTCAGAGGTTGTGAGATATATTGGAAACTAGACAAGGGAGGTTTATATATCTTTGGGTTATTGTTTTGTTCTTCTCTGCCAATTCTCATTAAAGTGGGGGAGGTCTGGTACATTTCACTGCCTCTTGGCATTACATCCAATGCATTCATAGAATCGTAGAATACTAGAGTTGGAAGAGACCACATGGGCTATCTAGTCCAACCCTCTGCCATGCAGGAAAAGCACAATCAAAGTACCCCCAGCAGATGGCCATCCAGATGTTGTATTCCCAGATCCTAATTGCACTTACTAGGAAGGAATGCACATTGAGCTCTTGTTAATTGTGTCACCATAAGCCTAGTTCTGGCTATTGATATTGGCTTTGATTTTTTAATGATGTGTTTATATTGTTAAATTACTGTTTCAATTGTGAAATTAGATTGTCATATATTTATTGTGTTTTTAATGTGCATTTGTCTAACCTTGCTATTATTGGGCTTGGTTCCACTTGTAAGCCACCCCAAGTCCCTTCGGGGATATAATAATAATAAATTATTAAAAAATTATTTATATCCCACCCTATCTCTTTGAGGGGACTTAAAAATAAAAATAAAGTTATTATTATTATTATTATTATTATTATTATTATGCATGCTCAGTGTAATAATAATAATAATAATAATAATAATAATAATAATAATAATGTTGACAGCAGGATTGAAGAGAAACAACTGAAAAGCTGACATGATATAAGGATTTACAGATCGAACTGCAAAGACTCTGGCACAAGCCAGTCAAGGTGGTCCCAGTGGTGATCGGCACACTGGGTGCAGTGCCTAAAGACCTTGGCCTGCACTTAAACACAATCGGTGCTTACAAAATTACCATCTACCAGTTGCTGAAGGCCATCTTACTGGGATCTGCACGCATTATTTGCTGATACATCACACAGTTCTAGATACTTGGGAAGTGTCCGACGTGTGATCCAATACAACAGCCAGTGAAGTGATCTTGTCTGCTGTTGACTCATCTTATTGTGTTTCAAACAATCATGTTTATTTATATCCTACCCCCTCTCCCCAGGGACTTGGGGTGGCTTACAACATAAATAATACAATAAGTGCAATACATTAAATATATAAAATGGAATAAACAATAACACATCCAATCGATATAATAATTTGAATGAGGAACCTTCAGCTCCTTTACTTAGTTGCCTGTCCTTCTGCTTTCTGCTCACCTCTCCCCCCCCCCCTCCCCTTGACTAACATTCACAACCCTCAAGTATTTGGAAGTGTAACTACTTCAGCAAACATGGCAGGAATCAACAGGGAATTGGTGTTAAAGCATTAAGGGGGAATTAAATATTTTCCTCATTCCCTGTTAAGAAGAAATTTACTGGGTTGCTGTGAGTTTTCTGGTCTGGGTGGCCATGTTCCTGAGACATTCTTTCCTGATATTTTGTCCTCATCTATGGCAGGCATACCCAGAGGTTATGAGGTCTGTGGGTGAAATGTCACGAGGGAATGCTTCTGGAACATGGCCATACAGCCCAGAAAACTCACAGCAACCCAGTGATTCTGGCCATAAAAGCCTTCGACAAAAATTATACTACTTGCCACTTGCAAGTATACCTGGCACTGGTACAAGTCTCTATCCTGGAAATATATATCTGGGAAACTAGGTGACATACATAATGAAAACAGAAACAGAGGCATGTGAGTGTGTATATGCATGCAATTGGCTGTGTGCATATGCACACCTACTTCACCCCTCCCTGTGAGATTAAAGATGTGGGACTCCTTCTTCAGCTGTGATTTGGAAAGCAGGTAGGACTGGGAGGGAAAATTAAGCAGACTCCCAAACCTACCAGCAGTGCTGCTTTAATCAAATTTGCAGTCTCCCACAGCTGCATTTTAATAAGCCATGGTGGTGGGGCCCTTGGAGACAGTCTGTGGACCGCCTATGTCAAGCCCCATTTACCTTTTGTTGTGAACCAACTGCTAACATGTACTGCAGACACACAGAGTTGCACCCTTAATGTGTATGTCAGAAAGGAGATTTCTTCTATCTCTGTGTGTTTTGCTGTCCCAATACTCTGTCCTTCTGTGCCGACAGGGTCTTCTAACTTTGCCAGTTTAGACTCATAAATGGTTATGTTTATGCGGCAGCCAGCTTATGTGGCAGAGAAGGAGACAATGATCTGTAACGGAGCAAGCATAGACTGTTTTGGTTTGAAAATGCTCTGGTAACAGAGGCTGGGAGCTCTTTTGGAATGCAGTAATACTGTGTCGCTTCTGCTCATTTTGATGAGGCTTGCAGGGAGAGAGGTTCCTGTTTGGTTGTGATCCATCCTATTGGTGGCATAGTGTGGGGGTAAGAGTGCCACCTGCATTTTCTGCTTTGGTCGTTCACATGCTATGGCATTTGGCTGATCGTGATCTCACTACTAAACATGAGATTTTGCAGAACTAAAGATACGCACCTGACAGCTAAGCAGTACATTGAGTTGAATCCTGCGCACTTTCGCTGCTGCTAAAAGACTTGTACTTCAATGTAGGAAAGATAAACATTTACCACCTATCATTTCGTGCTCAGAAGATCTTGGCTGATTTTAGCTACATAAAGACATTAGCTCCAAAAATATATTTGGAGATACAGCCAGCTTACATTAATGTATGTGCCTAGCCTATGTTTGTTCCCTGCAACCCTCTGCTGTTTTTGCTCATTTGTATTCTTTCTCACCCTTCCCTTTAGCTTTTTTTTTGTTCTTCTGTTTTTTGTTTTGTTTTTGTTTTGTTTTAAAAAAAACAGTAGCTTGACATGCATGCTACACCTGCTTTAAAATAATGCGTTGAGCTTTAAAACTGTAAATATTTTGTTTTGACTAGTAACTAATGCCATCCAGTCTCAAGGAAAGATCTGGCATACATGACCTCTTGCTTATTATCAATATTTAGATGACCTTCTTCAGTTCATCCATCTGATGCAATACAGTTTCCTGTGCAAAATTGTGCAGCAGCATATATTAGAGGAGTCTTTGATGGGTTTATTGTAACATATTAAAGGAAAACAAGTTTTAAAGCCCTCTGATTGCGATGTACACTGGTTCCTTGGTGCCTGCTGAGGTTTAGTTCCAGGACCAAGCCATGGATGTTGTAATCCACAATTGAAGAATTGGTGGATATGAAG